ATAAGGTTTCTCTCCTGTATGGCTCCTCAAATGATGCTTAAGATTAGAAGCGGCTGAAAAGCATTTCTCACACTCCGAACAAAAATATATTTTTTTAACATTCTCCACTTTGAACGAAATGACGTTTGGGAAGAGATTAACATAATTAAACACAGGCAGTAAAAATACAGTTTTTAGCCATACCCTGTAACTTTAAAACTACACATCCCATTTTCATAATTACATATTTGGAATCAGCACACTTAAAACATAAACATAACCAAAAATCAGCCAAATCCATTCAGGGGTTAAAAAGTTAGCTGGAGGTCCCTTTATGACCGACCGCAAGCACATTTTCCTGCCCAAAACAGTTCCATAGATTTGGGCTGTGAGGTCGGTCTATTTCAGGTTGAAAAAACGACCAAGTCCCATCGCCGAATGGGACTTAGTCTCTGCAGCTGAAATAAGGCTGAAAAAAACGGCTGAAAAAAAGACTAAGTCCCATCGCCGAATGGGACTTAGTCTCTGTAGCTGAAATAAGGCTGAAAAAAACGGCTGAAAAAAAGACTAAGTCCCATCGCCGAATGGGACTTAGTCTCTGTAGCTGAAATAAGGCTGAAAAAAACGGCTGAAAAAAAGACTAAGTCCCATCGCCGAATGGGACTTAGTCTCTGCAGCTGAAATAATTTCCCATTTACTGAACCAAGTGGGAAATAGCAAGGCAGGCACAAAGGGTTTGCACCAGGTCTGGGGACACAGGGGACACCGTCTTAAAGGGGCCGTGTCCCCACCAAGGCACTCAGAGAGGCGTCCATACCGTACAAATGGGGCTTTCCGACGCGCCTAATCACACGGAGAAATGGAGTGGAGAGGGTGTTTCTCAACCCAGAAGACGGGAGGAATGGGCTAGCACAGTGGAGCATTCCAATGCCGCAGCCAGAGTCGGCGGAAAAGAACACCCCTGCCCGCCCATCCCGAGTGGCTGGAGACTGGCACAGAATTGATGCAGCTAAGTGAACGGCACACCATAGACACTTTTATTGTCACTGTTTCTTTTCTTCTCTTTTGAATGAGAGGGAAGGTGTTTTAGATGCCGGTTGCTATAATTGTAAAAGAGGGAAGGTGTTTTAGATGCCGGTTGCTATAATTGTAAAAGGTGAAGGAGTTAGCGCCCATATAATAACATAGTGGGATAAGACGACAAACTAAACAAATAAACAAACCATCAAAAAAAAAAAAAAAGAAGAAAAATAATCGAGCATGTTTAGCATATTTCCATAAGTTAACACTGTTAAAAGTATACAAGTATAAACGGACACAGGACTGTGGGCCGTAATATGAATGGTGCTAGACCGCGATACATAATTCATGTCCTTTCCCTATTTTGACTTAGAGACTTGGCATCTCTGTCTCGGTCTAAGGTTAATTCTACTGATAGGGACGGTCCCCTATGACATGTTGTATCCAACAGATGGTACTACCCACCACTTCACCCCCCAGTGGCCCGAGCCAGGCCACTAAGATGTATGCAGTATACGTCACCAATACTAATCGCCTACCGTGTGCTCGTCACGTGGTTCTTAGGCAACTGTATATAAGTTTTTTCTGTTATTTTGATCTTAAGTTCTTATATCTTCATGTTTTTTTCTTTGTCTTGTTCGAGGGAATCATAGTGCGGAAACATAGGGAGGCCTGTACCCAGAGCCCCGGGGAGGGGGTAACCGACAGGGGGACTAATTTAACGGAGAACAGACTGCAATTTAGCAATCCTGGACAGCATAGTAGGTTGTATGTAATAAAATGGTGCTGATGTTTCTATCATTGAACACTAAAGGACTCAACTCCCCGAATAAATGGAGACTGGCACTATTGGAAGCGAAAAGGGCTAAAGCCCAAATTGTATTCTTCCAAGAAACCCATTTCCAGTGGGGTAAAAGACCTAAATTTAACTCCCCTCTGTATCCTTTAGACTTTCACTCCTGTTTCTCTAAAAAGAAGCGGGGGGTGTCGATCCTTATCGGGACAAACAGGGAAGATACTTAATTATACAATGTTTGCTGAATAATGCCCCGTACACCTTAATTAATGTCTATGGCCCTCATACAGCACAAGCTACATTTCTCCTCAATATTTTTAATGCACTGGACGAAGGCAGATTGGGGGACGTAGTGATAGGCGGGGACGCGAATTTCATTCTAGATACTCAACTTGATACATTCTCTTCACACACAGTGAAAGCATCTACTGAGACAGGCAGGAAAACAACCTCTGGGCACCTCAATCAACTTCTCTTAGAACAGAATTTTACAGACCCATGGAGGGTGACACATCCGCAAGAAAAGGATTTCACGTTTCACTCAGTGGCACATAACTCGTACTCCCGAATAGACCGCTTTTTGATACCTACCTCCTTGATTAGCAACGTTGTCAACACAACTATAGGCCTTATAACGTGGTCGGACCATGCGCCGATTATTCTCCACCTGAACGAACAATTCCCTTCTAAAGGGAGAGGAACTTGGCAGCTTAACGAAAGCCTGCTCAGCGACCCCCAAATATTAGAAGACCTCCATAGAGAACTGGAGGTCTATTTTTTTACCAATTCTCAACCAGACACACCCACAGAAATGATGTGGTTAGCCCATAAGGCATACATTAGGCGTACTAATTAAGCACGCAAGTAGGGCCAAAGCCGCGCGCATAGCCAAATATATAAACCTCACTAGCCGCCTCACAACACTAAACACACTTAACAAACAAACACCCTCAAAGACGCACCTTAGAGAGATTACAGAAGTACGAGCGCAATTACAAGAACTGGAAGTGGCTAAAACAAATTTCTTCCTAAGGAGACTTAAAGCTAAA